TGTGTTGTAATGGCTTGGGTAATGGGTTGTGTGGTGACCTTGTGAGTTTTATTGCTGTGGTATCCTTGGTCTTGTGCTGTGATTTCCTGAGTCGTTTGCTGTGTTGCAACTTCTTGAGTTCTTGTGGTGTAATTTCCTGAGTTTTCTGATGTGATATCCTGATGTGATATCCTGAGCGGGTGGCTGTGATGTAGCATTCTGGGTTTTGGTCTGGCTTCGAGTTTGGGGTCTGGGTCTGTGTTCTTGGTGTGTGTCAGCTTGTTTGGTTTTGGGGTTGGAGGTGCGACAGCTGGCGAAGCAGCCGTGGTCTGGTTTCTGGATGGTGGTTGTCCTTCGTTTATAGGATGGGTTTGGGCCTGGGTCTGATAGGTGGATTGGCGGGGGTGTCCCGTGTTGTTTTGGGTCTGGTGTTGGTTTTCGTGGCTGGGACTCGTTTTATATATATATATCTTAAAAGGAATCCAAGCACATCAATAAAACTACATCTAATTGCTTGTATTGTGCAAAAAGTAAAGAATTTATTAAACCAATTAGCAAAAGGACCACAAATGTATTTTGTGAAACATTCTTGTAACTTCTCAGTGTCCCATAATGAGAGGTATGATGTAGGTGCTGTAAAATAGGGAGGGAAATATTTTTATTTTTTATTTTTGCTACTCTAAGCAACCCATGACTCACAAGACGGTGAAAGGAGTGCTACATTTTAAGTACTACATTTTGTAATGAATCCATCTCAATAAATTGGGAGGGGATAGTTAATTCTTGGCTTAGGAGAAGAATGCCTGTATTGCTTTCATTCCAGGTGCTTTAAGATTTCCTCCAGAAATTCTCCAAGTATTGATGTCAGACTACCTGGTTCTGTAGGTGTCAGGGTCTTCCCTTTTCCTCTTTTTGATGTTTGCCTCCTGTGGCTCATCTGGAATTTCACCATTTTTCAAATACAAAATGTTTCAGCAAAAAACCAGCAACTTCAGAATTTCATGTCTTCCTAGATATTGAATCTTAGTCCAAATAAATGCTGCTGGCATTAGGGTTGTGCTTCACAAAATAACTGGTACAACAAAGCAGCCACTCTTGAAAGATTGAGGCAACTTCACCCTCCAAATGCTTAGCATGACTATCTCTGCATTTGCACATAAGTTCTTCCCCATCAGTCCCAGGACTGAAGCAACACGTGCATGGGTAGACAACTTGGAAAAGATCTAAAAGTAGGCTACTAAGTCTTCAAAAGACATAGATGCCTGAATACATTTCCCAACCCCAACATATAGTTTTATCAATGATTCTGTTTCATTTGTTCTTCAGTTGCTAACAAAACACATACATTATTTTCAGAGAAGGCTGAAACAAAATAAGAGTTAGTATTTGATATAATGGCATTCATTACATCAAAAGTCTTTTGTTGAGAACTGGAGACCTGAACAAAGTAGCTTCATTCTCAGAATGCTGCTTATCTTTGATTGGTTATTTTTTTTATCATCTTTATTTCTAGATGCTGATACCATTTCTCTAGCTTTTAAATGTACCCCTCTTCAGATGTTTGAGATGGTTTTTTCGCTTAAGACCTATATCAGTGACATATTGTATGAACAGATCACAGAAGCAGAACCAGCTGTGTCAAACACATTATTCCTTTTCTCTGATGACCATATTTTAAATGGATCTTAAGAATAAATAGCAACAAGAAACAAGAAAGAAAATATGAAGAACAACTGAAAGAACAGGGATGTAATAAACAAAGAAACAGAGGAGCCTGTCAGCACTTTTCCAGACTTACAGAAATACGTATTTATGAGTTATCTAAAGCAGGGGACTCCAACGTTGGCAACTTTAAGCCTGGAGGACTTCAACTCCCAGAATTCCCCAGCCAGAGTTTTTGAAGCATCAACATAGTTGTTTTTATATTCTACAATGCATTAGCTGCAGTTTGAGCAAAATGGCTATTCCCTTGTTTCTGAAATCAATAATCTCACTGGAGATCTCTGACTTGCAATCTCATGGGAAGTAACTGTCTGGAGCAGGGAACTCCAACCTTGGCAACCTTAAGCCTGGAGGACTTCAACTCCCAGAATTCCCCAGGAGTTGAAGTCCTTCAGGCTTAAAGTTGCCAAGGTTGGAGACCCTTGATCGAAAGCGTATGCTGCAAGTCTGAAAATGTGCTACCAGATTCCTTCTGATGTTGGGATACCAAAGACTAATATGGGTCTGTTCCCACAATGATTAATAATAAACAAGAAAACATTATTTATGGATCCTCTTGAAATCATGACAGTGGGATTATAAAGGAGGCCTCTTGGGCCCTTTGTGTGTAAGGTTATATTTGAACATTTCCCAATACTGTTGACAAAAATGTATAAAAATATCTGTGGTTTCCTCTTTATGATTTATATGTTTTCCTCTTATATGAAGAGTCATTTTAGCAGTTTTGCTGCATCATCAGACAGAGCCTACTCACAAGATTTAGTTCTGCTCTGTTTTTAATTAACTGGGAACAAAAAGTCTTGTGACTTTTTTCAATTCATTTTAATCTCTGTCGTTAAGAACTGTCATGTAGGAGATAGTATGGATAGCTGGTAGTAGCAAGCTTGGATCTGAAATTCAGAAAATTAATTGAAACACCTTACTTAGCCCTACCTGAATTTTTTTTAGCTCTTAGATAGGTTAATCTATTTTATTAAGTGAGCCAGAATGTCAGCAAACATCAATTGGGGTAATCATTTAAAATACACTAATTTATGTAGAAGAAAAACAGCTATATTTGACATGGCCTTGTAAATGAATAAATGAAAATTAGATCTAATTTCTCCCTATTGATCAAAGTGTATAAAAGAAGCATTTTTGCAAAGACATTACTGGGGGAAAAGTCTTTATTTAAATGAAGAAAACATGTCATTGCTTTTAATCTTAAATTTAAAAGAATGGTAAACTCAGATTGTGGAAATTATACAAGAGTATGTATGTGTGCATGTGCGTGTTTATACATACACACACACACACACACACACACACACACACACACACACACACATATTCACTTCTATTCTTCAAGATTGCAGGCATTTCACTCTCCTATTGTATGTGTACAATTTATTTCAATTGCTCTATCACTTATTTACATTACTCCTTTTTAATTTTTTATAGTTCCAGAATGGTTATCAATGGATGCAATCCATTTGAAATATCAGACTGGAAAACTAAACTTGAAGAATATGTAGCAATGGCAAAATTAATAGTATATATTCTTAACAAAAGCTTAACTAAATTTAAGCAAGAATGGCTTACTTATATATCACGCATTATACTACAAGGAAAGCATTTACTTAGAGTACAATTCCTAAGGGGGGGAAATAGGTAAAAGTATTTATAAATATATTGATTATAATTATCAGTTGGAGCACAGTAGGAAGAAATAATAAAATTTATAACCAAGTAGTTTTTAAATAACGTTTTATTGAATTTTCCCTTTTCCATATATATTTTTTCTTTGTGATTATTTGTATTTAATTTCTGAATAATATGAAATATCTAAACATGGATGAGATCCAGACTTAAAATACTGGAATCACCGGAATTTGGGCAGGAAAGTATGTTTTTTTCACCTTTTTCTTATTTGTAATCAATACTGCAACCACCTTGACTTTAATTTTAATTATAAAATACAAAATTCTATGAAGTGGCTACTATGAGAAACAATTCTTAATTCCTCTTTCTCCCTCATAGAAAATATGTTAACAGAAGAAAACGTGAAAATTCAGTTGAAGTGATTCCATCAGATTCCATGGATATTTGCAGATTATAATTTGTAGTACCCGGGAGTAGTATGTTAAATGATTTCAAGTTTTGCTGTTCTGAGAAACTAAGTTCAACCAATGCATTTGTTAAGAAAAATGCATGACACTTCTCAGATATTTTTTATTAAAAAAAATCCTTGCAATAAAATTGCTTAGAATTCACAATTCTTCAGCTTTTACAGTTGCAATATTTTACTAATACAGAATAACACAGTATCACATATTTACATTATAATCTTCTATATACCAAAAATAGCCATGTTTTCTACCGAATAATGCTTTTCCAATATTTCTCCTGACCCTCGCTGAGTCACTGTCTCAACTGAAAAGTACAGAAAGGACAACAATAAAGAAAAAACAAAAACCAATGTGTCTGCCTCTTGATTTTAGGCAAGTCCCTTTAGTGATAGTGTCTGACTCCCACATTCTCCAAGTGATATAAAGTGCATTGGAAAGGAAGGTGAGAGATATAAAAAAGAGACAGAAATAAAGTAGCAGGAGATATACTAGTGACTGAAATATATTTGCAACACTTTACTAAATTTTGTAGGAAAACAAATTCTTCACAAACCACTGGTGCTTTGCATAGGCATACTCTCCACATTGTATAGCAAACAAAGATTGGTTTATAAAGAAAGCCATTGCCTATGCAAATATTATTGTGATGATTTCCATCTTCCTATTTTGCTAATCAAGTTGAAGACTAACTGTTATGTTACTGTGTGCTGTATTGTTTTCCTCTGTCAAACCAGGAAAAAAAAAAACACAGAGTAGCTAAAACTTAAAAGACTAGTATGTTTTTAGAGACTTAACAAAAAAAAACCAAAGCACATGAAAATAAAAACAAAAGCAAGCAATCTGTTCTAACAATTTCATTACTTTAGCTTTTTCTGTTTAATGCAATCAGTTTATACAACACTTCACAATATTAGCATGACTGAAAGGCCAGCCTGCCTCAAATGTTTGGAATGGCAAGAACAGATTATGGTACTCTTTCTTCTGATTATTTTAGCCATCCCTGACTTTTTCAGATTATTGGCTTGCTACTGATCAAGAGACTGGTCGGCATAAGCACTGACCCTGGTCATTCTGATAGCTCTTCCTCTAGGGCAGGGGTGTCAAATTCACGTCGTCATGGCGGCATCATGTGACATATCGGGACTTTTTTCCCCTTTGCTAAACTGGGCATGGGCGTGGTCAGCGCATGATACATTCAGCCCGTGAGCCAAGAGTTTGACAGCCCTGCTCTAGGGCCTGGGCAGATATTGTTAACATATCAGCAGGTTTAATGTAATTCCATTTGGAGATTCTGTTTTGTCCTCTAAAACAAGGTAGAGAGAAAGCTCGAAAGCCAAAACCATGGCTTCTTTTTGATTTGCAGTTTGTTTTCTTCCACAGTTTGTAGGAGCCAGTATGCTTGTTTGCCAATAAGCCAAAATTCTGAAGAGGTCTGGTATACAGTGCCATATTCATGTGTGTCTGTGATCTCCATTCTCTATTTTTAAACTGGCTTTAGAGCACAGTTATAAATTTTTAAACAACAAATTAATGCTATCACTGTTAGATGAGTGAAAAGGGAAATGGCCTTATGGCTTTACAGAATGCTTGGCAATCAGCATAGACAGAGCTGACTCCAGCTTTAAACAGAAAAACAAAGGTTTTCCTGAGCAAAATTCTGAAGAGCAAACATTACACCTGAATAAAACTCAGCATGAGTCTTGTCAAAGCAGGCTCCTCATTCGGATATAAATTGGGAAATATTCCAAATCCAGCAGATAGAATCACTTTTTTGTTGAAAAACAGAAATTTCAAAAAAATGCAATTAGAAATAATTTAGTTGCCACTATTTAAAACGAATTTTTCTATTTTTTTAATTGGCATTTGCTGGTATAGAATGTAGTCTATATGATACAGCAGGAGAGAACTTTGGAGCTATTACTGTAATCCAAATATTTTTGTCTTTATTGATGAAACTTTATTAAATGTTTTTGTGTTTTCAAAGTACTTTAAATAAAAAATATTTTTGAGAAATGGATGGAATGTACAGTTTGACAAGTACAAAATTATTTTAAAATGCTAATAAGTACAAGGAACATCTTGCTATAAAAATAACAGCCCTTCCCACCCACAAAATTAATTCCTGCTTTACATTTTATTCTATTTATAAAATGGTAAATACCTTCATCAGGTGGCTTAGCCATGAAAAAGGGAGGAAGAAATGAAACTATGTACATGTAAAAACATTTTGATATTTCACATTAGTAAACCATTGCCGCAAAAGAAATGGGTAACATTTGAGGCCTTCAAAGCAAACAAACAAGATACAAAAGAAGCAAACAGGAAGAAAAATGTTCAATTTCTTTCTTTCTTTCTTTCTTTTTTTTTTTTGTAGTCTTCCACACATACATTCTTGTAAGAGACACTCCAAAAAATTATTTGCTGAGGATGATACACTATCAATATTAGATTTTTGAGGAGCCTTTCGGTACGTTCAAAACAATTTCCTTTTCATCTTTTTAAAATAATAGTGAACATCACTCTCTCTCTCCTCAACCCCACTTGTGGATGGTTCAGCATTTTTACTGGTGAGATAAATTTCCAACTACTAAAGCAACAAATATATTAAGAGAGAAGTTCTGAAAACTGGGATTTTTACAGCATTGGGCATTCCTCTGCTATGTAGCTGTTAGCAAACACAATCTGCTATGCAGAGCCCTACATACCAAAGTATATTACATTATTATTTATTATTATTATGGATCAATTGCTTCAGTTAAAAAGAAAGGAAAATGAAGTTTGTTATAGCTCAATCTTTTTTTGCTGTAAGCTATTATTCTATGGCCTGCTCATAACAAACGTTTTTTTTAAATAAACAAAATGTTCTAAAGCTTTCTCAGAAATCCTGTATACCGTATGAATACTTGGGTAACGTTTCAGTAGATACGGAACTGCATCTCTGTCAGTAAAATAAAGAGGGTCTTTATATAACTATCCGGTGTTTCTATATGTCTGTACATATTCTATCCTCTGAACTGTGTTTTCCTTTATTATTGATTCATCTGGTTGCCAATGGAAGCACATTCAGAAGCATGATTTCTCTTCCAGCTCTCTGTAACCCATACTACTTTCAAGTAGATCCTGGAAAAGGCATCACTTTGAGCCTGCTTCATAGACTTCTTGGCAAAAATACATTCGAGGTGAAAAACTGGCAACACCGCAGCTAGCGACCATGACACAGTTTGTATTGATAATGTGCTAGAAGTACTTAGTGGGACGTGATTTCTCAAAGAACTACTGAAAAATAATATCTTGGTTTTTCACAGACTGCATACTGTGCAAACGTAAAATGGAACTACTCTCCCTACACGGTAAGCAAGAACAGAGAAAAGTTTTATAAATACTACTGGAAGCTCATACAAGCTCAAGAAAGGCTGTTCTTAATACTGGTGAAGTTACTAGAATTGTGCATCGGCAGAAACTGTTCTGCATTATTAAATTTCATTAAATAGATCATCCAATGTAACATTGCATACATTCTCACAAAGCCAGCTACAAATAGCAACACAACTAGCAAAAGACTTTGCTCTCTACATTATAGATAAGCTTCCCCTCCTGCATTTCCTGTGCAGTAGCTGAATGTTGGAGAGCTTATGATGGGCAGGTCTTACTTCAATGTTATAGTGCTACCTGAGGACAGCATGGCCATTCAGAATACTTGTAGTTCTGCCTTCCGACATGTTACTACTGTTATCCCATGGTTGGCCATCAACATGCAGTCCATATTTAGATCATTTAAAAAAAAAAGATTATTTCACTACAGTATAATAATTATTTCTTTTCTCAAAGCTCTGGTGGGAGGAGTGATTATTTGGAAATAGAAAGCAAGCCGAAGAACCTTTAGGTTGTATTCTGTTCAACAGTTGGTGGGGTTTAAGCAATCTGTAGGCATGAGGTATTACAGAGCAAAAAGCCATTAGCTTCTAATATCCCTTTCACTCTCTCCCTGCACTACTAACCCTATTCAGTTGGCTGGGGCAGGTTATCTTGCCAGAACTCTAAATTGACTCTATGCAGAAACCTATGGCAGACTGAGGACTGTTACTCAGTGGTCTATCTTTGCAATTTTACCAGATCCTTAACATACCATACATTTCTATGTGCATGCCTGAAAGCTGTTGCATTTAGAAAATAATGTTAAACCGGTTTTCTGGGTTATTCTGTTGCTTTTAATATCAATTATTAGGTTTGATGTCTTCAGTAAATTGGAAGATTAGTAATAAATCCAAAAACACTCAGTAGCTTTAGTTCATTGGCAATAAGCACATTCTTGGACAGCCAAAAAATAAAATCCAGCAAGATTTAATTACTGATTTCTTAAGTTCAAAGAAAGAAGTTCCAGATGCTAAGGAATGTCCGTAGTTGAATACTGCTAGTCTAAATTAAAGAGAGAAAACACCTTCCTAAAATAGACCACAATATTGGGATTTCCCAATTACACATATTTTCTTCCATTCATTCATGCCCAATTCTTGGATACAGCCTGGGTAAGTCCCTGCAGTTTTCCTAACAAAGTTTTTCAGAGATGCTTCACCATTACCTCCTTCTCAGAACTGAGAGAAACTGACTAGCCCAAAGTCATTCAGCGGGTTTTGATGCCTTAAACCACTGCACCTAATTGGCTTCCTTAGAGTACTAAATACTTTCCCTATTTTGTTACATTGGAAAAGAAAAACAATCAGACTTAGTGCAAAATCACATATGCTGTTCACTGACCACCTACATATCTACCACCAGTATATGGGCCATAATGGCTTTTATGGCTTAAAATAATATGTCATTAGTGTTTTTTTCCCTTCAAATAACATAGAAATGGTTGTAGTGAGAAAGAAGAAGCACAGGCAGACTTAGGGACAGATTACAAGCTAATATTACTTTTGATTATCATAACCCAACTTTGCAGATGGGCTGCATGCAGATGGACAACATGGTTTAACATGTCAACAACCAAGAATAGCAAAATAAGCATATTTACTGCATCTTTACTGCAACACTGTAGGTAACATAACGCTGGACATGGCCATGTAGTAAAGAAAGCTGGCCCTACAAGAATCAGACTATCTTTTGCCCCTGACTACCAGTAATTAATATAGTATCTCACATGTCATGGAAATGAATTGAATTGAAGACGGGGCACCTTACATTTTTAGACAAGAATATACTGGAAAAGTGAGTAGCCTCACTGTTCAATATTAAAACAACTACATCCTTATAATCTGACAGGTAAGTTTTCACAGGCACAGTTAACAATATATGGCAGCACAAGTTATACTTGTTAAATATTCTTTTTGTATTAGTAGAGGAAGGTTTAATTTTCCCCAATTTGAATCAAATAGCAAAAAACAGAGTACTAATATTTCTAGTTCCTTTGTTATTTCAGAGTCAAATGGAATTGCATCAGTTCCGGGGAGATACCTCATTAAGCTTCATGGAGATGGGGCAGACTGATCTTTCTCAGTGATCTTTTGTTGAAGGTAATGGTCTTAAATGACCAATCTGCTTTCAAAATTGCCATTTCAGTGCTTATAATAAATCAGATGCAACAGCAAACCTTGATACAATGTAAATAACTGTCTTTCCCAGGTACACTCACTTTCTAGTTGCATATTCACAGGACCAAAATTAGATTTCATATTTTTATCTCCATCCCAAACAAAGAAAGATGGAAGCAGAAGATATCTTCAATGTTTTCCACTTTTGGATTGAATGCCAGACCTTAGCACTGTCCCAGGTGGTGTTTCGCAAAATATCCAAAAGTGTTCTGGGATAGGAAGAAATGGCATTAATGATGACATTTGACTAAAATATTTCCAATTTTTGTGGAACATGATATATCATGCTGAATACAAAGCTTGGTCATTATTTCATTGTTCAGTTTCAGTATCATAGAATAGCAAATTAGGAAACTAACAGCAGAGAGTGGGGAAAACTGAAGAGTAACAAGAGAGTACATGGGCTAATTTCAGAAGTTAGCAAATCTCTGTTTTCAAGGATTTAATACTGCCATTATTTCTGCCTTTGGATTCACCAGCTGGATACAGAAGTCAGACATTGAGATTTAGAGACATATGGCACTAAAAGCTCAACTATTGGACCAGGCTGTAATAATGCATAGTCTTCTGATAAAGAAGCAAAACTTCGATCAAATGACAATCTAAGATGGGGAGGACCTTTTGTGGCTACTGTCATTATACAGTTATTAAGAGTAGTTACTGATATGATTCAGGATCCATTAAGTAGATCTAGATCTACTTTTTGCTCACCTATGGATAAATTCTTAGGGTACTCTTCTACTACAGGAAGAAAAAACAGTCTGTGTCTATTCAGTTTATAAGTACAAGTGACTCTGTTACCTCTGTTTATCTACTGTGATTGAAATTATTATTTTTATTGTCAGAAGTATTAGCTTAACCTTTTGTGACATAAAATAAGATGAAAAGTCCTTCTTAAGTACTTTGATTAAAATACAAATTGCTCTTTTGCATAAATAGCACACCCCATTAAGCAATAGATAAAACAAAATCACTTAAATTCCAGCAGCTAATGGCACTTATTTTCAACATAAATTAGGGAAAAACACACAACTCTTAGTGAATTTGGTTTTGAACGTTTCAGTTTTAAATTGTGATTCAGAAATAAGATTACAAATAACCACCTTTTGATTTACTTCTAAAGTTATCCAGGTTTAGCCTACATACTCCCATCAGGAGCATAAACAACAATAAAAGGTGTTTGTAGCATATTTTCACACATCATAAGAAAAATGCCTGAGACTTTCTGAATAATTTTAAGGTGAATTTAAATGCAGTACAATCAATTTGATTAACAGGTATTTAGGAAAGCAGTTCATTCTTAGTACAATTTTATTCTTTTCTAGGAATGATCTCCCTGAATTGGATTACTGGTTATTTATCCAATCATGTTAAAATGTAGTTAAATAAAGATGAGGCTGTGTCTGAATATCCTTTCCCACAATTGTTGAAATGTTCCTTGGAAGCTTGGAAAACTTTCACTTGTAAAATCAAGAGTAACTAATAATGTGTTTTGAGGGGTAAAGTGATTTTCAAGGTATACCTTGTAGGATAAACAATCAGTCCATTGGTAACTACTGTAAACTACCATACCCCTGCTGCCTTCCTACAACATTTTTATTTTCTTTCCATCTAACCGCAAACAATATCAATACATTCCATTCACTCATAGGTCAGAAAGTTCTTGGGAAAGCTTTGTTTTAAAAGTAAATCTAATTTCAAAATCAATCACCATGAAAGCCATTAAGGCATGAAGAGTATATAGTGGTACAAAGGACCACATATATTGGTTGACCTTTAATTTCATTCTGATTGTTGTCTTCACGCTTCTTCTCACACTCATACATCAACGTCCTAAAGCTCAGAGTGGGACCCAGTAGGATTAAATAGCAATTTGCCAACCTCAATCAAGCCAGTCTCTGTTCTCCTGTCTGGAAGACCCTGGAAGCATAGATCTCCAAGGGCCAATAATATCTTAATAAAAAGAGTCTTCAAATCAAGTCAAAGTTGGAAGCACCATTTCTTCCTGAAGCCATGCTTTCTTCATGTAGAAAATGCCTGGCATTCATACATTTTTGTGACCCACCATAATGTTCAGATCTCTGAACTGAATACTTGAATAAGCTTGGGTTATTGAGAAGGAAGAAAAATAATGTTCATCAATGTCAGCTATAATCCTCTTATGGTATCCCTTTTCTTTCTTTTCTTTAAAAAACAAAAACAAAGGTGTGTGTGGGGGGGGGAGAGGACTTCATTTCAGTTATATGGTTCTAAGCCACCAAGCAAGGGCATATTCTTCTGGCACATGGATTAGAACAATACATTTTTCAACTTCCATTTTCAATGAAATGATCAAATGTAATTGATAATGAAACTGCATCCAGGCAGACACATCTGTAACTATTGCTTTTCATGACCATCCCAGAATGGAATTAACTGGAGTTCGCATAACGTTCTGGATGCCTTTGCAGGTCATACAGTTACATATGTGCATGTGTGTATATGGGTATTCATGTATATACAACTGACCCAAATCTTACATACGTGCACATATGTATATCGATAATTGTGTGTATCACAATGGATTTCTTCTTCCTGCTACTGCCTGTTAGTTTAGTAGAAGGATGTTTCGATGGTTTCCTTTTTTTTCAGGATTTCACCTCCTCGCAGTCTTGGTCAGTGGAAAGCTCCACATCAGAGAGTCCAACCTCCATTGCCATAATCAATGAAATATCTGAATCACTACTTACTGCTGGTTCTTGCTCACCTGAAAGAAAAAAGAAAGATTAGAGCCAGTCTTTCATCATTTAAAAATCATCTTCACACTTCTATTTCGTTCTTGTCATCTGATTTTAAATTTGGTCACCGCGTTACAAAAAAAGATGTTGAGTGCAAAGAAGAGCAACTAAGATGATTAAAAGCCAGGAGACGGAAACATATGAAGAACGATTGCAGGATTTGTGTTTAGCTAGTCTAGAGAAAAGAAGAACTTGGGGAGGGGGGACATGATAGCAGTATTCCAGTATTTGACACGCTGCCACAAAGAGGAGGGGGCTAATTTATTTTCCAAAGCACAGAAGGGTAGGACAAGAAACAATGGATGGAAACAAATCAAGGAGAGAAGCAACCTGGAATTAAGGAGAAACTCCCTAACAGTGAGGACAATTAACCAGTGGAACAGCTTGCCTTCAGAAATGGTCGGCGCTTTATCACTGAAAGTTTTGAAGAAGAGACTGGACAGTCACTTTTCTGAAATGGTATAGGGTCTCCTGCTCAAGCAGGAGGCTAGACTAGAAGACCTTCAAGGTTCCTTCCAGCTCTATTCTAATTGAAATAAGAAAACCTGCCAAAGCATAAGTCCACAATATTTTTACAAGGTCAGCTCTTGCATTTGACTGGCATCATGGAGTCTATGTTTCCAAAAATATATAGATTCAGGACAAAATATTATTAGGATTAATTCCTGCATATTCAATTTCTCATACTGACAGCTACAATTTGGTGGCCAAAGGAGGAAATTTTGAGAGGACACACATACTTCTGAATCTTTAAGTTGGACACTCCTGATTTCTCCAATTAATCAATGTCTCCTAGTATTGGCTGTCAGAGGTAGATTGGGATACAATCTACAGTAAATTAATAAGGATGATTGATGTCTAATTGATTAATATCACAAAGTTAGTATAATCTTATTTCAATTTTTAAAATATATGTAGATAATTGTTCTGGTATTTGGTCTTTTTTGCAGTGAATGTGAAAATGCACTTTCCCAAAATTAATGATAGAAAAGTTAGGAGGTTCTTCAATGCCTTTTCACATAAAAGCTCAGTTCCTCTGTGAAACTTTATCCCAATGTAATGCTCTCCCCCACAATTGTTTTGATGTGATGCCTGAGAAGAAATCCGCTAACATCTCTGTTCAATGGCTAATGAAACCACTTAGTTCCAAAACTCACGAAACATTTTCTCTTCCAACTTGGGAGAGAAAATAGGCATTTGTTTAATACCTATTAATCTTTAAGGAACAATTGTGCTTTGCAGAATATGCTTTGAAAAGTATGGTTTAGGGCATTTATGATGAATACCACAGCTATAATTATGCCTAATGAGCAACCAAGGCAAATATTTCAGTACAAACTTCATATATTTCCTATTTGTTGCACAGCTTAGTTTACAGGCCATTGTTTGCCCCATTTCTAGACATTTTTTAAGGGCAACCTCATATGGGCTATATTGCAACAATCAGGATGGAATGTTACCAGCAATGTAGTCTACAAGAAGTTGGCTTTGAAGAATCTGGAAATTACAAGTGGTGAAAATAATGACAAGTAAATCACTAGCTGTACAATTTATTATTGTAAAATTAATTATTAAGCTTATAATTGGCCACAGCTGGAACCAGTAATTATATAATTAAAGTTTTTGCCACAGCCACCATTTGCAAATCCAATGACAGTACTTGCTCTTTCAGGGGGCTTGCTATCCCATCCAAATAGGCTAAAACACAATCATCTTATGTCACGGCTCAGAATTCAGACTCTGACAAAGCTGCTCTAGTTGAACCTGCAGAATGTACACTTCAAAAATTACCTAGCCAGGAATCACTTGAAGCTGATCAAACACAGGACCATCAGAACAGCCGGAGTAATGAGATGATGGGGTATGAACCCCAAGCCCTCAGACTGTGAGTAGAGTGCCAAGCAAGGAAGTAATCGTCTTAATACCATATTTCAGTAGACCAGATTGTCCTGATAGACCGGTTTCACCAGAAAAAAAACTTTGTCTTGATTAAAGATAACTTGGTCACAGCCCTGAGCCATCTTTGTCTGTTTGAAAAAAATTGTCGATCTCATGCTTTAATGTGTTGTTCCTGTGAATGCTGCTTATGAACTCTAAAAGAGAATTGAATTTCATTGTTCAAATCCAACTTCAGATCTAGGGATTAAATCAGATTAAATATTACTATAGCAATTTACACTTGAATGGGAATTTTAAAGTACATTCTGTTAATTATTATACATATGTTTATAACAAACTATGCTAGACTATATATATATGATGACCAAGATACAAACCTATTTATTGACATTTATAGCCAAAATTATAGACTCAAATGGGTGGGTTACAAGGAAACTTGAATAGCTATGAAGTTACTCCTATTTCATAGCCAGTAGTAGCAACTACACCTCTCCAAAGTAATACAGTTACATTTCTTTCCTTCATTGAATTTACTCCATCCATGTTATTGAGATCTTCAGGATCAAAGTTAGAAACTATCAACAAAGCCCCACCAATCTCATGCAAGTGTCCACTCCACTGCTTTCAACGGAACAAACATCCATCTTCAAATTTTCCTTTCCTTCAATGGACACAGTTGAGTAGCTGATACACAGTACACACTACTCAGGAATTATTGACATCCACAGTGATTGCAATCTGGGCTTTTTAGGTTCATTAAATAAGATGGGCATAAATGAATTTAAAGCTGACCTTGAGGAAGGTATTAACAAGCCATGAATGGTAGAAAGAAGGATGGAAAGAAGAATTTGTAGAAGAGATTTCATAGTCTTGAGAAAAAGGTAAAGCATGAGGGGAAAAAAACCCTATAATAATCCCACTTTGATCTGTTCAGTATAAGATGTGACAGAGAGAAATTAGATGAGCTTTCAAAATGTTGTTAACAATTACAAAATAGCATTCCTGGAAATCCTGCAGTGTCCGTTTCTTGACTTGGCTTATGTTGAAGGACCGATATCCAGACACCATTTCTTTTCTTTCTCTCCTCAAGCAACTGATGTAAGAGGTCCCTTGCATAAGGCATGGACATATAGAGCTTTCTACAGCTGAAAAGGACTAGTCTTTTTCATCATCCTTTTCATGACTAATCAAACTGCGACCAGATATAATATGTACATTAAAACCTTTTCCAGCCAACATAGTTCACACAGTTGAAATATTTGATAAGGTGCTTTCTTTCAGCATCTTAAGTGGGAAAGCCTGACTGGAAGGAAAAACCTCTCTTTTTATATAGATGCATTAGGGAGCAGCATTATGTTGACTCAGATTCTATATTCTACATTGGAAATGGACATAAAACTAATAATATAAAATATGTTTTAAAACAAAGGAATTGCCTTTGATAATTTATTTTTTAGAATTTCCACTGCAAAATTACTAACAGTCAATATTCAGCAACAAAATTTCATTTTAAATTCCACAAAAGGTTCTCTTGGGAATAATTATATTCAGGACAAAACTATGCTCATAGCTCTTCATGCTATTTTCAAGAACTACAACTCAGTCTCATAATGCACACCCACATACAAACCAGTGTGTACCCATGTTGGATCATAGTTACTGAAACAGTGAAAAACAGAATGCCAGATGCATAATGTCAATATGTAAATGCAACAATCCACCAGAAGGTAATTATTTGAATTTTTATGCATATAACCTGAGTATACAAGTGGGCCTTTAACAAAATGCCACAATATGGAATTTTTGTATTTCGTGTTCTACCCACTTAGTTCCATTATTCATGTTTCCCTCCCACCCAAAAATCAATATTATGTAATGCTTGTTTCCAGTTTCTATCTGTGCACAGCTCTTCTGTCTTTTATTCTAGTCAGTCTGTTTCATGTTGCCTGGTTTTTATTTTTCCTAATCATTCTACTCCATGCTACATCTATAATTTTTTCTCCTGTTTTCCAATATCTCACCATACTATTTTTTCAATTTGATTATCAGTTCCCTTCTCTCAGACTTATCAACATTTTATTCCATTGTATTATTATTAAAACGTTTCCTCCTTTTATGTTTTTATTTAGATATTTTTCCATCTTTTCTCTTCTTGGAGTTTCCCCTGAATATAGAATATTCTCTATTTTATCCGTCCATCTCTATATGCATGAGATGATTCTATTAATTTAGTAGGAATTTAATAGGAATTGTGGTTTTTATGTACTTTAGAAGAGGGGTTCCCAACCTCCAGTCTGTGGACCAGCACATGCCAGAAACCAGGCCGTGCAAACAGGTGAAGCCCCATCCAGGAATACAGGCAGCACATGAAACCATGAGCCCTACAGTCTGTGGAAAAACCTCTCTCCATGGAACCGGACCCTGGTACCCAAAAAATTGAGGGCAGAGGTGGTATTCAGCAGGTTCTCACCAGTTCTGGAGAACCGGTAGCAGAAATTTTGAGTAGTTTGGAGAACCAGAAAATACCACCTCTGACTGGAGATTTTACAGTATTTTTCCCCTGCCACGCAGAACTAGTAGTAAAGATTTTTGAATCCCAGCACTAGGCTCTGCCTTAGAAAGTACATCAAGCTGATATATTTTGATAAGGACTATAAAAATGCATCAAATACTAAAAGATCCTTAAACACAGAAACATGATATGCATAGAATACTGGAGGCAAACATTTTGGATCAGCACTTTGCATTTCTATTCTATATAAGATGTATAATGTATAATGATATATAAGATGTATAAATGTATAATGAAATCTATCTGATTTAAGTAAAATGTATAATGAAATCTGATCTGATTTATGGTGCCATGCCACTACAGCTGACAGCCAGCAAAAGGAAATTGCAATGCAATGATATGTATATTAGCAATAGTTTATATCACGTATGCACAACTGAACACCTTGGTATGAGCTACATGCCAAACTAGTAAATGCAGTTATTGCTAACATTACACTGTAGCTGAGCCAAATTTAACATTCTGTAACCTTGAGTTATTTATGTAGATCTCTGTGCAACAAAAAGCCACATAAATGATTTCAGAAATGCAATGAGAATAAATTCAACAATGTTTCTAGTGTGTATTTGAAAGGGCACCAAATTACCATTTAAATAATCCTTATATTCTGAAGTATTATGAGCATTATTAAGAGAGAGCAAATTTATCTGGAGTTTTTTTTTAATCGCTAAAAAAAGGAGAGTGGTAAATTATTTGTTATTTACCTGGGATATTGTTGCCACCAATGACATTTCTCCTTTAGCTAATTTGAAGTCAGAAACTATCCAGATATTACCAATGGCTATCTATATTCCACTGTGAAACATAGCCAATTAAACCATTGAATGCTCTCTATAACATAAGCATACAGGCCTTTCTTATAGACTGTTAGATTTAAACAAGACGATTCATTTCAGTTTAATGAACATCTTGCTTTGTATATGTCATGCTTTGTGTAATGCTACTGAGAGTTTGTTAGTTACAAAATCAGCATTTTTGCCCTGGGAAAGTCTAGCTCCCAATGTATCTTCCATAGGAAGTACACTTATAACTAAGGAGTTCCATTATATTCAGGGACATATCCCTCTGAGTAAGCATAAATATATGCAACATTACTACTTGTTAATGTTATTTTAATTAAAAAAACAGAGGAAAAAAGGATATGCACCCATTTTTCTCCAATTCAGCAGTCTCCAGATGTTTCTGTATAGTGTTCGTACAGAAGCCTGATGATGGCAGATGAGATTCTGCTGAAACGTTGCTACAACTTTAAAAGAACAACTACAATGACGTGGGAAAATACCCGAACAAAGCCGAATGCCATACATGTAAGTACCCGCGAAAACTTAAGAAAACAAATATATATAGAGGGGGGGGGGAGCAGTTTTTAAAGCTGTATTTTTCTGCCAAATAATTGAAAGCTGGATTATAAAAAAATCCAATTGCATTTATTACTTCAGCTTTTCCTATAAAAGTCTAAAAACAGGCTTTCTTATTTTCCACATGGAAATGTTATTAATCATATGAACAGCTGGGAAAGCAAGAATAAGAAATTCCAAAATAGGATTATAACTGGGTTTTTTTTCCTTTGAAAAGGAAAACCATCTCTGCAACCATTAGAAACTACTGAAACTATATTTTTAAGACTTTTTAGTTTTATGTAAAGTGCCTTAAAAAGCAATATATTTGGACTTCCTTTGAAAGGAACTAGCTACCATCTAACAATCCTGCTTTTATAACTTTATAGATTGGAAGGACTGTTTGAAAGAGCCTGAAACCTATATAGCCTCTGATCTTACTGTGATGGAATCAAATTTATGTCATGACAACATCAGCAGAAATTGAAAATGAATGAACTCTTGAGTTGATATTTTAGAAGGGCAATGACTTGTGTTGAACTCTAAGCACTGTAAATAGGCAACAAACTCCAGCAAGTTAAAAACTAAAATATTTGCTATAGCTAAAGCTCAGCATTTCTAATATGCAGTTTTGGAAAGGATAAACCTTAATTGCAAAGAACTAAAGTGGACACGGTGGCTCAGTGGCTAAGACGCTGAGCTTGTCAATCAGAAAGGTTGGCAGTTCGAATCCCTAGCACCGCATAATGGAGTGAGCTCCCATTACTTGTCCCAGCTTCTGCCAACCTAGCAGTTTGAAAGCATGTAAAAATGCAAGTACAAAAACAGGGACCACTTTGGTGGGAAGGTAACAGTGTTCTGTATGCATTCGGCATTTAGTCATGCCGGCCACATGACCACGGACAGCGTTGGCTCTTCGGCTTTGTAACGGAGATGAGCACCGCCCCCTAGAGCCAGAAACAACTAGCACATATGTGTCAGGGGAACCTTTACCTTTACCTTTAAAGTGCTGCACAACATAATCCTTCATAAAACAGTAGATCACATAATGGACTCAAAATCAGTCTTCCTGAGAAGCCAGCAACATCAGACTTTGCCTCTCCTTGATGCTCATTTAGCAGCTCCTGCATCATCCTGTTACATACAGGAAGCCAGGCCATAGCAAATTTAGCCTTCTTCACTATTTCAGCCATTTAAATTCTAGCTATTCGTAGGAAGATATAAGAAAAAGATAGTCCAGCTGAATTAAATTTTACAGACTGCTATTAAAAGTTCCAGATAACTATTTTTTAATGTTTCTTTTTAATTTTAAGCCTGAGGATAGACACAATCTCTTATTGATCTTTAAATTATGCTGGAAATGTTTATGACTGGATACTAGGTGCAGGTAGTCCTCATTTAATGACCGCCTCAGACAATGATCATCCGCAGTTATGAAAAAATACTAATTCTTGATTGGGGTATTTACTGCTTGATTTTTGATCTGATGTTAATCTTGGTGTTAATTTATACTCATCTGAGTGTTGATTGCTGGTGGAGAAGAGTTTGGGTCTTTTTATTCCCTCTTTGGCTTGTTGATTGTCTTTTTGCACTATGTTATTTATGCCACTATGTCTATTGTTGGCCAATTTGTTAGAGGGCCAGGTTTCCAGGAATTTTCCAGCATTTTTGAACTTGTCTTGGTGTAGGATGGTCACAGTTTCCCAGCTGAAACTATGGTTAAGTCTGTCTATATGTTGTGAGATTAAGGAGTTGTCATTGTGTCTTCTGACTGCTGGTTGGTGTTCATGGATGCATTCTGCTAGTCTTCTGCCTGTTTGTCCTACATTGGCTGTTGCAATCTTTATACTATATGTTGTGGATGACTCCTGTTTTTTTTCTTTTGAGGCTGCTAGTTCTTTTGGTTTACTTAGGATGTTCTGGAGGGCTTTAGTTGATTTGTGTGCTATGCTGATGCAATGCGGTTGTAATAGTCTATTGGTGTTTCTGAGACATTTTTGATGTATGGCAGTGTTATCCTTTTTATGCCTTGTGTTGGTTGTGCTATATTAGGTTGAATGGTCATACACTTTTTGATGAAGATTCCTTTTTCTGTTGTTCAGGCTTGGCATAGTATCTGTCTAAATAGAGTTCTTACATCGGAGCCATGAAATTATAATATTTAAATATGAAAAATAGGGACAATAGTAAATAATCCTATTAACTGTAATTACCTGAATTTTAATAAATTCAATTTTGCTTTTATGTTGCCTCCAACCACTTATTCTGACTCTTTCTGCTTTTTGACTTGCAACCTTGGTGGTCTAATTAAGCACTCAAGTTTTTCCTCTAGTTTTACAACCTTGCCTTAAATAAATAAGCAAAGTTAAACTTGGTGAAGTTCTCTTGCTGCCAAAATGTGTCCTTCATCACTGACTTGAATCACAACCAAGAAGTACAGAGAACAGGAAGAGTTGGTGTTTCTTATTAACATTCCCTTTACATTTCTATTTTCTCCAACATACATTATATTGCAAAATATTGGATTATTCTTGGTCAGGGATGCAAAAGACCATCAGATATTTATAAAAACATGTCACAATTCTTAAGCTTTACAAATTATTGCAGGCAGTTCCAAGTTTAACCAATATCACAACTCTAGTCACGATGTTGATATATCTTGCTGCTCTGATATATGAAAGTGAAATCTATTTCTAAAAATATTTCATAGGTGAGTAACTTTATATCCTCATGTCTTCATGTAAAAAATTATTTTTCATTATAACAGCATGATCCCAGCCAATCAGCAATCATATGCTGAACATGTTGGTCCTATGGTTCCATGCCACTAGTGAGATTTTGAATTAATATCAAGGGCTGGGGGGGAAGAATTGTAAATGAAAATTCTATGAAAATTCTAGTTCTATTGAATTTTTTTCCAACTGGAATCCAGAGGATCAACTAACTGAAAATATTTCAGAAAAGCCACTTTATGTACTTTTATGAATTGCATCTGTAATGCTTTATTCAAAGCCAAGAGATCAATGGGGACTTACTGCTTGTGGTAATGTTACTTTCCACAGCCTGTGGAGCAGGATCTGCATCCTGAATAACTTGTAATATTCCAACTGTCCGGATAGGAGTATCCACTGCTATGGAGCTTTCATTCACAGTGATATCACTAGCTCCTGTAATCTGATTGGTTGGGGGCCCTCCTATAGATGCTTCAAAATCAGGAGGGATGTCATCCATGCAATCTGCATTAGGCTAAAAGAAATAAAAAAGAAGACAATCAGAACTGGGAAGAAACTTTGCAAAAATAATGTTCAGGAGCAATATCAATTGAAAAGATTTCCCACTTCCCCCAAAACACCCCTACAGTTTGATATGTGATTCCATCTTTATATATTCCATATGCTATCAGGAAACCTATCGTTAACTATTTATTTTCATTTCATTTTAAACAAAAATAAAAGTTGTTGGGAGACTATATTAATTTATATATTGAGCTGAAAATAAATGGTCGTATCAGAAATTTGTCAGGATAGATTTTTATTGAAAATTGCCTGGGATTAAAACACAACTCAATTTATCAATATATAACATTTTTTACATGAATTGGAATCCAAATGATTTTATACTTACTATGGCCATTCCTTTTATTATTATTTTTTGATGGCCATCTCTTCTCAATAACACACTACATGTGTGTTAGCATTGATTCAGTTAAAAATATCAAGAAAGAAACACATATAAAAGAGCACTTTTAAATCAAGCAAATGCAATCTTTAACTTTTCAATACCAGTCGACAATGAAATAATCTTCCTCACCTAAAAGGCAGAAGCAACTAGTGTTTTTTGGAACAAAACTAATCAAATCCAAGCTGTTTGGGAATCAAGAAAAGTTATAGCTCAATACAGCTGAAGGGATTCTGTTTTTCTTTCTACAACTCCTTTTTTTCTGAACCTCCACTGCTTTAGGAAACTCAAGATTTAAGGAATTTGTTGTGTTTTAAAACAGTGTATCAGCTCTTACACCAATACCAATGCAGATGGTACCAGTTTTAACTAGTTTCTCCATTTAAGTTTGTAAGTACACAAAACGGCCATAGAATACTTGGGTCTTTTATGCTGCATTGGAATATATTTCGTGCTTTTACTTATAAATAAGTATATTTGACTTGCTTTTCATCATAAAAAAGAATAGTTATATTTGCAGAAACACACTTTTACTTACTGTATTACTTGGCATGCTTACCGGAATCCCTAGTGCTTTTAATATGTTCATTTTACACATAGGACAGGTACGATGATCTAGGAGCCAGGGATCTACACAAGATTTGTGAAATAGATGCCTATGAAATGGAGTAAAATTATATTTAGTTTAATGGGATTTTTTTCTACAAGTCAGAATTTTCAAACATTAAGTTGAAATAATTTGTTTGGCAATATAAAGAATCTTAACTAACAATATATTTGTGTAGCAAACTATTTTATCAACAGAAAAAGCTAAAAATGAAGTCAGAGCTGAAAAACAGAAGTGTTTTGGAGTTAATTATGAAGCAGTATTAGAGTAAAAAAGAACAAAAAAGGTTGATAGGATAACTTTTTAAAAAAATATATGGACATCACTTTTGGATGTATGTGAAAAACAGCATAAATAAACAAATCCACTGTCCATAATAACAATTCCAAACTTAGATATATATAATAAAACATTGTATGATAAAGAAACAGTTCATTGTACTTTATTTGTGACACCAGTGGTAAATTTGTCATAAAGGTTAAGACACATTTATACTCATCCCAAATATTATCCCATTACAGAACAATAAATATAAAACCTCTATATCAAGCAATCTAATAAAACTTGGAAAAAGATTCTGTTTCTTAAAATCAATTACTTTATTAAAAGAAATTTGTTGGGATAATGATAATAACTTACCGGCAAGGTAAGATCCTTACAACATCATTTGGTTTGTAACCCTCAATACATACTGCACAGTTGTCAAAATCAGACTCAGTTTCCTAAAAAATAATAATTCTAATCAATATTTTTAAATAACAAAAATGCAAGTTGAGTAAGAGAGATGTGCTCACAGAGACGCGTTCTTGTTGATGTGGCTAATATCGATGTGCAAATGAATGGCAGTAGGATATAAGTATCCTGTTTTTCCCCCCCTTTTTGTCCATGTATATGGATAGTCTAAACTCCAGATTGCTATGAAAATGGTAGCTTTGTGTGAACCTTCTTTTGGTTTATCCATCTTCTGACCAGTCTTTACTCACTCCGTTTTGTAGTTGCAAGTAAAAAACTTTTAGTTGTATTTTTTATTATTATTTTGTCCTTAATATTGTCTCTGAAGAAAGTGGTCATATTTCAAGAGAAGCATTTTTAAAATTACCTTATCTCCTTTCCTTATTGTTCTGACTTGGAGTTTGCTGATTGCTTTCTTTGCAGCATCTCCAAGACGGCGCTGAAAAGGGGAAAAAAAAACCCCGATCATTTTATACTTATGGGATAAACCTTCATACAGCTTACTTCTTGCATTAATAATAGTTGAAGACCATTTAAAACAAAAGAGGTAAAAACAAGAACTTTTATAGGGAACAAATGCTGTACAACATAGCACAGATTAAAAGTATTAAATTATGAATAGTATTGGCAAGAAAAACTGTGAAATTTTGGTTATTGAAGTTTAGTATTTTCTCTTAATACTTGGGTGAATCTAGATAAGACAGTGCTAAAGATAAATTCAAATTACAATACTGTAATATTAGCAGGAGACTTTAATGCCTCTAGAAGATGTTGTACACCTGGGTGTTATTCATGAGGATTATTTTATAAATAATTACTTGGTTCTCTAGAGACCTCAAAATAAATACCAGCGCAGACTCATAACTAGTCTCCTTGATTTATAAATGTAACCTCCATATTTGAAGAGGCAAAGAATCTGGTTTTATATATTACTCAGGAAAAATTCTAACAATGTTTTAGATATATTACATGAAACAAGGTTACTCTGTTTTCAGACATCCAAGCCCACATAAGGATAGCAATCATCAAGTAATCACAGTCCATTTCCAAAGCAGATCTGATGCTAGATTAGTTATGCCTCCAGAACAGACGCTATTAGCAAATCTTGAAGTGAGGCAGAATAGAAAGCTCAATTAGGCAAAAGTAAGGCAATATCTATCTTTCTGAATACAGAACATGTCCAGACTTGGAAAAACTCAGTTTTCTCCTTTATCCAAGGTCCAGATAAAATCTTGCTCATTACACTGATTTGTGTCTCACTGAAATTGACCGATCAATTTCCAGAAACCAACAGCAAATAAGTTCAAATTGCTTTGATTCTGCCTATTTATATACCAGAAAGTTGAGAGCAGTAATGCACCAGGCCCAGGGATGCCTTAATGTAAAAAAACATGTTAAAAATAAGGTGTCATTATGTGGGTAAAATGTATGCAAAACATCTTTTGAGCAAAATAGAAAACTGGATAATAGAAATAAATTGCTTAGTGGAGGATCAAGCTGGACCAGAAAGCTCCACAGTAAACAATTTGTGTTATTTTACACTACATGTATATTGAAATCTCCCAACTATCACAGCTGTTGGGTCAGGTCAGGAGAAATTACTTATAGAGGTTGTTGGTGGTGGGGACGGTCACTGAAGAAGACAATCAGTAAACAAGACTTGACTGTATTGCAAATGAACTCATTTTAAAAGATAAAGGAATTAACTACACAAAATCAATATTATTTCAATCTATTTTTACATTGAGGATAGCAAAACCCATTTTATTATCTCCCTGTTTGCTTGGGAAATTTATGCCACATTTCTTCATGTAAAACTGGAATTGGAATAATTTCTTACCCATCTGTTCCCAATTCTTTTTTCTCAAAGCAACATTTTAGGTTTCAATAAAGAGGCAGCAATACATATACACATCAGATAATATTTCATATAGTTCTCTCTCTCTCTCTCTCTCTCTCTCTCTCTCTCTCTCTGTGTGTGTGTGTGTGTGTGTGTGTGTGAGTAATGTGTGTGTTTCCATATGCATATATGTATATAAAGATTTTGCTGTTATTCTTTCAAAACCCATGCAGTGGATGATAAAAAAAACTATCATTTTTTAAAAAGGCAAAGGGACAACTAGCTATAGAAGCAGGTGACCTTGTAATATTTGGATATTTTGGCATACCTGTCTTAAGATATCTCATTCACTGTCCTGTTAGTTGCAGAATACAGGAATGACAATTCTAAACTTCCAGACACTATCATTTTACCAATTCTTGTATAAATTATTTGTGCTGATTGGTGAGTTGTAGCCAACGACAGAAGTATATTTCTGCAGAATAATCCAATCTTCCGATTTTCTCATTTGTTTAGATATGAAGTCACTGCTATTCCAAACTGAGCAGTGGCAGAAAGGAATGCAAGAAACAGTAAGTCTAATCAAAGGTCAGGGAACATGTCAAGCAGAGGAACAAGGCAAGCCAGCACATGAGATTTCTTGCAACATATGAGTTATTGAATATAGATCAATTAATTAATCAGGCACAAGATTAGTTGCTGCTATGTATTGTCAACTAAATGTTCAAAGACTTGTTGACTGGGTTACATTGCTATGGTTTTTTTTCCATATCCATTCAACGTGGACACATACTTTGCCTCAACAGCTTTGTACATGAAGCAAAAAATAAAATTATAAAAGTGTAATCCAGGAATACAGAAGGGCCTTCCTGTTTCTGGAATCACTGCATACCAGTGAAATACTGCACCTGCCTAGAAATGTGCAATACCGATGTTTGATGTACCTGCGAGAGTGCAGTACATTGTAATGTCAAAATTTCAGACTTGTTCTTCAGCTGATGCAAGTATGTTAGAATAGATATTTATTTATTAACAATACTTATAACACCACATTATATAGGTTCTGTGATAAATCTCCAACTAGAATGGAAGGAGATATGAGAAGGGGGCTGAGTTTAGAGTCCTTGCACAGGTCTATGACAATTTTTTGCAGCTAACTCGACATGACCAACTCACTGTGGGACATTAGTGTAACTCTTGTTACACTAATATCAAAAAAATGTTGGAATAGAATCATTAAAGAAAGGATGCAAAAGGAAGGACAGAATGAAATGTGAATGGCAATAATTATTTTTTTAATTTATTTTAAATAATTAAATACAATTGTTAAATTATTCTGCAGAGAGTTGTCCCGCAGCAAGTTGGCCATGGCAGGGTGTCCCATGGCGAGTTGGCCATGGCAGGTTGTCCCATGGCGAGTTGGCCATAGTGAGTTTGCTATGGCAATTTGATGGTAGCAAGTTGATCTTACCAGGTTTCAGGAAAAATGACTTTTTTACTCATATAGGACATTAAATGTCCATCTAAAGTTATCTGAAATTTATTAAACTCATATGTTTTGAACTGGAATATAAATAAAAATATAAAGAAAATAAGTAATAGATTCTAATGTAAAGAAAAACAATTGATGTAACTATTTACTGTACTAAGATTCCTTTGAATTTAATGTCCATCTCCAATGGGAATAATTTCTCTTAATTTTTAGCTTAAAATTTCAGAGACTTTTTGTGATATAATGTTTTTCTCTCCTGTTTCTTAAAGTTATCTTCCAAAATACACTCATATCCTCAGTCTATTTCTCTCAAAAGCCCTCCTACATTCTTACACCCAGACACACAAACATACATTATTAAACTGGTAGCCTATCCCAAAAAGTTTCTATTTATTTTTCCAGTCCTTGTGCTGAATTTTCCATCCCATTTTCATCTGTCTTCCAGCTCTGGGTTCTATCCTCTCTTTGCTTTTTTTTTCTTTGGAATTATTTAGGCTAAAGGAGAATTTTGATGACCCATAGTAGTGGCACTATCACATCAAGCTGCAAATTCTGACACTCAAGTAAGAAATAGTGAAATATATTGTAGTGCTTATTAATTCAATGCATTGGCTGCATTACAGGATATGAATTTTATTAATTCCTTCACTGATGTATTCCAAATTAAAAACTATGTTAAACAACATTGTGCTAGCTTGTGTGCCTTAGGCAAGAGGAGAAGGACCTAGCCGATCAGCTTCTTGTTCTTTGTTCTATCTTTAACTGTATGAAATACACTTTTCTTTTTTTGTTATGCAAATGTAATATAATGAATACTCCCTTTAATACTTATTAAGAAATATTTGTTATGATGGGCACTAAAAATTTTAAATGAGACATAAACTATTTCAATTCTGGCTCTGTTACATTTTAACAACAATCCCTAATCAGTATTTCTCAGATTTCTGGAATCTGAAGGTAAAAACACATATACACCACTGCTTATATTGATTGTTTTTAAAGGAAGGGAATTTATTTGCAAGTGAAGTATCACTCACCTGATTCCTGTCTCTGGCATTTGCATATCTGAACCTCTGAATGTAGTAGAAGACCAGCCATGCTAAAGAGATGATCATCAGCACAATGAAGGAGATGGATACAAACACCACAGAAGTACGACTAACGTACTTCTGCAGGTTACGGGTTCCCACCGTTATGTGCATCATTACAGTAATATTCCGCTCCAGTAGGCTTACTATTTCTTTTCCCTTTGGCTCAGGGATCATGATCGCCACAACATCATCAATACCTATCAGAAAAGAAAGAACTATTAACAGAAATACTCCAAGTGACCCCCAAAACAATTTACTTTCTTCATGAGTGATATCATCAGTGGAATAGAAAATATAAAAGCAATACAATCCAAAAGTCACTAACTGCTTACCAGCTTTCCTTTTTTATTCCCCAAAGGTGTGAGATAAAAATATAAGACCGTTTATTATAATATTGTGATTTTCTGTGAGTTTTAAGAGCAAAAAGTATTTCTTAAGCCTCACTAAAAATATCTTCCAAGTTGGATTCTTTGGGAATATGGCTCTCAGTTTGCCATATAAAACCTCATAATGTTGTCAAGACAACAGACACTGTTCAGTTTGTACAAAGATAAAGGTGAAAAAACTAATGGCTATATCTGAGACCAGCAACAAGCATAGTTCATAGATGTACAATCCACCTTAAGTTATATCTTGTTCCCAAAATTCAATTTGCAAATAGAATTTATTTTTGCTGATATATCTGCGTAGAAGTACAAAGATTTCTGCTTCAGGTTTTTTTTTCCTGCTGATATTTCTACTATAATTTTTAGTAACATTTTAAAATAAGAAGATAAAAGCTAACACAAACTAATAGTAAGGAAAAAGAGAAATAAAAAGCAAAAAGTGCATGGAATAAAAAATATAAAGAAGTGGCTTCTGATATTTTTTACAGTCGTTATAAGTACTAATATATTTCCAGTTATATTATATTATTATTCTTTCTATAAACTATCCTGTCTATTTATCAAACAATGTCATGTTAATTATTTTCATTTTTACACTAAAAGTGTATGAGGCTTCTAGTCAGCAGTAAACAAAGATAATATTTTTTCTATAATTAAAGAAGTTAACTTTTTCATTTCAGAAAATCAAATTTTGTACATTTTAGTAATTACATGCTCATCAATACACAACTGTCAAATTGTGAGTTACTTTGCTCCATACCCTAAATCTGAGTTCCCAGGCGGGGGGGGGGGGGGGGGGGGGGGGGGGAAGAGGGGAGGTTCCATGCGCAGGGCGGACAAGGGTGCACAGCTTGATTTGCACAAGTGGCAGACATTAAGGTTTGTATATAGAACAATTCCATTTTTTCTTCATTCTCTTAAATAAAAATTCCTCTCCCAAATTTTTTTATATTAAATATTTTATGTCTTTTTTTCCCTAAAATATATTTCTTGTATACAAATCACATCGTGTTCTAACTTATTTAAATAGTGAAATATTTTTTTCTGTTGTTCTATTTATATACTATGTTAAACATTTATAATCAATACATTTCCCCAATTTTTTTAGAAAAATCAATACCTGTACCACCCAATGTAGAGTCTTTTTAAATGTCTTTTTAATGTTGTGGCATTTGTTCAGTCTCATCTGTCATTGTTGCTTCCTCTAAGTCTTCTTTTTAAAATTTCAAAAAAGCTTGCTTTTTGCACAGAATTCACCCTAAATGCCTGGTGTTGGGGGGGGGGAATCACTTCTTTCAGCTTATCCTACCTAAATGGATTTTTTTTTTCTTTTTAAGTTTGTCTATCATAAAAAAGTATTTTTTTCTTTTATGTAATATTGTAATTGGGATTTCTTAAGCACAATTACATCTATATTATCAATCATCCATTTGGTATTAAAATACTCTGTAGAATTTCATGTTTTGTCTTCTTCCTGATAAATTATACAAGGACATCCCTCGGAACATTTCTTAATTTTGCAAATGATCCTATAAGACTTTACCAATCTTTATTATATCAATATTATTCTCCCAGTCCAGAAATTCAGAAAACTTAACAATCTCTTCTCTAATATCCTCTCCATGTTCTTCTGAAATTGCTCTAAATCTTAAAATTCTTTTCCCCCAAGTTTCATTTTTGTTTATAAATTCTGTTTTACTTTTCAAGACTTCCACTTTTTCATTAGTTTGCTTTAATGTGCAGTAAGCTGCTGAACAGATTTTTCATTTTTCTTAACTTCTTCTTTCAGATCTTTTTTTATACTTGCAAAACATTATTCCATTTCCTTTTTAACTGTTGTAGTTATATTTTTACCAAAAAATTCAAACAATATCTGCAATAAATCTGATGAAATGCTCTTATTCGTTAAGTAGTTCTAATGGACCCCTGATCCTTCTCCCAGTTTGGCAGATACTTTTTTTGTGGTTGCCATGGTTAGAAAGTGAAAGCACAGTATGTCAGTTACTATGGTGAGAATAAAGGGCAAGGTTTTTTTCAGTTTTGTTTTTTCTGTCTTGAGTCTATTAGTCTATTTAAATAGTCAGATTTCCCAGGTAGGTTCAGTCTGTTAATCTAATTAAGTTTACTATAGTCAAAGATACTTTTGTCAAAGAAAAAAGGCTACTTTTAAAAATCACTGTTCTTGTTTTCAGTTTGATGTTTTCTAATATCACAATCTTGTCAAGCGTTTTGTCTTTAAAATAAAATTCTTTAAAACAGAATTCTTCAGACAAAAACCCACAGTCACTGAGATTATTTAATCATCACTGGTGTTCAGAATATCTACCCTAGGTTGTAAAACAGTTAGATCATAAAGCGATTAAACAAATGAGACTTTTGCTCATCAAATATCCCTAAAAGGTTGCAGAGCATTTAGGGCACATTGTAAATCCTCGACTCAAACTATTCAGCTCACAATCAGCAACAACAAAGGTTTTTGAGAGGAACAGCTCTTTCAGAACACAAAGGGATAATACTGTAATTTTTCCTTCTTCCAGATAATTTTTTTGCCAGCTAGAATTGACCATATGTTGGTAATTGTATCACGGTGCTATTTCTGTCTGCAGAACTACTTGCACACATCTAACCAGCCATAATACCTCACCAGAGAGCATTTCCTCTTTTTCTGTTGTAAATTTCAGACTGATGATTGTGATAACCTAAGTGAACAGATTTTCTTTTTCCATTTGAATCAAACTTTTTCCTCCAAATCTATTGCTTGGCATCATACATCACTGCCCAGATCCATTTCTAATTATTTATAACTTGCTTGGCAGCACTTTAGCTCTTTGCCTTCTTGGGTCTATTATTTCTTTTTTTTTTAAAGCCTTATCTCTTTAAAAGAATGGCTTCATTTCTTAATTATTACCAATGGCCCCTGTAGTTTCCCTCACTCCCTGCTTGACAGTCAAAAAGAGCTAATCCTTCCTTACTTATAGTGGTTCCACACTTGAACATCTAATTGCCCATATTACTCGGATTCTTGGCCTGCAAACACCCTGAATTGCATTTGGATGCTGCCAAATGATATCTTTCAATTTACATTTTCAGTCTTACTACCATGGCACCAACCCAGGCTGTCTGGTCACAGAAAAAGAGAACCTACAATAAGCTAAGGTGGAAATTATCTCGGTGCTTTATATATCAGCACTGGCATTTTTCATCCCATATAGTTTTACTTACACCTAAACTAATTTGCTCAAATATCGAAGAACAAAGAAGTGATGCTACTTAGCTAAAAACCAGGACCAGATATATAGCAGGCAGATGTGAAAGCAATTGTAGAGAATCCTGGGCTGATGGACTTACACAGTGAGCCAATCCTGTCTTACTTTGTTATATATTGTGGAGTTATTTTTGCAAATTTATTTGGCACTTCTTACAGTAGTTTCTTCCCCCATACATTTTCCTTATTGTGGTATAGAGACTATTAAATTGTTTAGAGTAGAAATCTTGGTTGAGAGATATTGACTGGTTCCAGACAAAATTGGCTGTTCTAAAATTAATGAAACCTAGTTATAATTGAGAACCAATTTGGTCTAGTGATTAAGGTACTGATTAGGAGCAGAAAAAACTGAATTCTAATCCTGTCTTAGGCAGGATGGGCCAATCATTTCCTCTCAGCCTTAGGAAGAAGGCAATGGCAAAATGCTTTCAAAAACCCTTCCCACAACAATATTGATTTTTCTGTGCAGTCTCCAAGAGTTAAGAATGAACTGAAATAAAATCACTCTAAAAAAGAGTAATGACTAACTTATAACAGATAGCTCAATGAAGCCTAAGTCCAATAACGTAGTCTAGACCCAAACCATTGTAAGTGGAATGATAGAGAATTCTACAAAGCAGGGTGTGATGCGTGTGTAAGAATATAAAACAAAAGGTGCTAGAATTCAACTTATCAAAATATGAATATCAACATTATCAAATACTCAAAATAAGCACCATATGTCTTGTTAATGGCTAATCTTTCATTTCTCATCAATGATTGGAAAACTGGTTGCAAGTTAAAAGCAAATAATTTGAAACTTCCTCCTCTTTCTCTCCCTATTATCATATGCCAAACAGACTCTACAGACAGTAAAACTACCCCAAGCAAATTCAGTTAGAGCACTGCAGCAATGAAAAAGTTGAAGGAATAATTCCTATAAAAGGCATCACAAGGAAGCTAACTAAACTCCAACCAACAGAGAATGGTCTTATTATCAAGTAGTTTGTTGCAAAGCTTTTAATCCCAATATTTGGGATCTAAAGAAAATTCTAGATGCTTTTAAATATCCATTACAGAAGACCACTCATTTAATCTGGTTGCTTAACCAACAAGTCCAGTCCGCAACTAAGAGCTCTTTTTTTTAAAAAACTTACCTCATACATTAATGAAGAGAATCTAGAAAATCCTTTTCAGATGTGAATTACCAACTGAAACTTGGCAACAGGGGTATGCAAAATTAGCACCATGTCTTTCTTCATTAAGATCCTTTTTAGGACATAAAGTTTTTTAAGTAACTTTAAAAAACTACAAAGAGATTAAAAGAGGCTAATATGTACAGACTGAGGGGTTATTTTATAAATGGTGACATCAGACCTACTACAGACATAAACCAGCAATCTAATATTTTATAAATTAACTGCCTTACAACATGTACAACTTCTCTACAAAGATGTATACAAAGTATTCTGTTCATTAAAGTCATATATCAGAAATACCTGTAAAATCTTTTAGGCCAGTTTAGTGTTGCATACAGTATGTTTGGGGTGGGGGAAGTAGGATGGAT